TCCCCAGCCAGCTATGCTGGCTGGGGAATTCTGGGAGTTGAAGCCCACGCCTCTTAAAGTTCCCACGGTTGAGAAACCCTGTTCTGGGCCAATGCTGGTAGATGCTCTCTTCCCCCAATCTCAGGTGGTGGAACCTGCACCATGCTAAGATCTTCCTGGTCTCCTCTTTGAAGTCCACACCTCTTAAAGCTGCCAAGGTTGAGAAACATCATCCTATAGGCAACAAAGCCATTCCTGGCCAGACCTTGGAGATGCGATTCTGTCTTCTGGTTGGTGCTCTGCCGAAGCCTTGAGCTAAAGCTCCCATCACCTTCAGCCAACACGACCAGAGAGAATTCTTCAGCAGGTCCTGGGCGCGCTCTCCACCTGCACATGTGGAAAGACTCGTGTAACGGAGTTGGCAACTTCAAGTTCTCCAGATGTTCTGCTAATCCCTTGCCCTTGGCTGTCCTGATTGGGACTGATGGGAATTGAGGTCCAAAACATCTGGAGGACATCATATGGGTTATGAAGGGACATCTTCATAAATGGAAACATCCGTGTTGGTTCGTTCTTTTTCATCATGAAAGGAAGTCAGACTAGAATCCAAAATCTTAGGGAGACCCTCAGAAACCGCATTAGCATTGCAAATGTTTGCATTTCAAGTCCACCATCCATTGTTATTCTAGATGTGGGCTGGTCCCAGTACAGCAAACAAAGGATGCTTTGGCTCCAGCACAAAAATCATGGGAGTTTTATCCCTTTCCAATGCAGCCCACTGTCTCTGGCAAAAGCTGGAGATGACGCACAGCGGTGCAAAACAAAAAAGACTTATTTTCTAACAGAGGGTCAGGCCTGCGGTAGCGGCTGCAATTGTGAGGATCCTTTAGGGTGGTGGTTTTCCCGAGTTTAGCTTCCACCCAGTTCTCAGCCTTTCTTGATACCTTCGCTGTATTTTGGAAAGGTCTGTAAAGCCCTGGTTTCCTTTAAGGTGTCAGGGCTTTTGGATGAGACCTAGAGAAAAATGCTTTGCTTTATCTTCTGACTTGCAGCCCTTTGGAGTCCAACTACTGGCGTAGAAATGGACTGAGCACACAGGAGGAGCCGCCGGAGGAAAGAAAAAGAGACGCTCTCTCCGTCTTCTAACTTTGTGTATTCTTGTAAAGACTTTTATCGTTTTTTACCGCTTTTTTATTTGTAAGCCACATAGAGTCACTTATACAGTGAGATGGGCGGCGTGTAAATTTGATTAATAAAGTAAAAAAGGATGAGGTCAGATGGACCCCGGGTCTGACTTTGGGGTGGTGCAGCAACTCGCCTGTTGTTCTTCGCCGCAGAGCAGCCGCCCCACTCAAGGTGCAAAAGGCCCCAGTGAAGAAGGGGGCCACTCGGGTCCGAAGGAATTGGCCTCCCTGCACCTCGCCCCCCACGGCCGAGATTCGCTTGCTTTTCCGACGAAGCGCCTTGGGCGGGGAGGCCAAGCAAAACATGCCCAACAGCTGGTTCACTTTAGCCAAGCGTGGTCAGAGCTAGTCAGGGCTTGGACGAGAGACGCACGTGAGAAGGGGGGACCCCACTTCTGCACGCGCCTGCATTGCCGCTATTAGCCCAACTGAGCCTTCGCAGCACCTTTATTTAATTATTAAGCAGGCGCAGCGCGGAGTCTTTCCAGATTCCCGGCGGATTGCTCCACATCCGCTTGGGGAGAGGATGCGAAGGAGGAGCCGGTGGCCAAACGCAGACAGCCACGTGCTCGGCGTTTCTAACCTTCCTAACGCAGCTGGCGGAAATGGGGCATCGGCGCCTCTCGTGAATAAACCCATGTAGGAGCAGGAGCCGCTTCTGAATCCGCCCCGCCGCTCCTCCTTCCAGTTCCGCCAGACCCTCGTCGGGCCTTCCCTTGAGGCACCTCGAGGTCAGATTCTGGTTCTCAGGAGATCCAGCAAACAAAGCTGGGGACCCCAACCCCACTCAGGAAGATGCTCAATGCTCCAGAAAGGGAGAACGGGCTGGCCTTCCAAACATAATTCAGTTATATGGTGGTATTGAGTGGCTGGCAGAACCTCATCCGGGCTTGAAGCCATGCAGGGTCAGGACTGATTAGTACTTGGATGGAAGACCACCAGGAGATCCCAGAAACAGAAAATTATAATTTTACCAATTTTGCCCTCCGGCCCCAGCAAAAGCCCACCAGCCTCGGGAAGCGGCAGATGCAAAAATCCCATTTCTCTTCACCTGGATGCTGTTGCGGCCTGCAGAGGAAATACTAAAGAATCAGGGTGGGCCAGAGTTGCTAAGGGGCCGTTCACTCCCAGAAGGCTAATAATACCTTCAGGCCCTTCACTTGCCCAAGGAAGAGGGGGGGAACCTTTTTTTAAAAGAGGCCCAACTGATGCTGCAGTGCGTGTTGTGCTTTAATTGCGGCCTGCAGAGGAAATACTAAAGAATCAGGGTGGGCCAGTGTTGCTAAGGGGCCGTTCACTCCCAGAAGGCTAATAATACCTTCAGGCCCTTCACTTGCCCAAGGAAGAGGGGGGGAACCTTTTTTTAAAAGAGGCCCAACTGATGCTGCAGTGCGTGTTGTGCTTTAATCCCCTTCATGTCATCCTGGTGGGGGATGATGGGAGTTGAAATCCAACACCTCTGGAAAGTGCTGGTGTAGAAGACCACATGATGGAATGGGGGTCACGGGAGGCTCAGGGGACCCGTGGCTGCTGGTTTGGAGGTCTATGAAGCCATAGGTAGCCCGGCTCCTAAGGAAGTTAGAAGTACCAGAGCAATGTTTCTCAACCCTGGCAGCTTTCAGATAGGTGGAGTTCAACTCCCAGAATTCCCCAGCCA